GAAAGAAGATAAGTGAACCTGCAGAGAGACGCTGCAGCAAATGTGTAAAATAATTTGCCTTTGCCATCTGTATAACGTTCTGATCAGAGAATGACAGATTCTCCAGTAGCTCTTGTGCGTCTCTGGCAGCCCGATTATCGTCACTGTTGGACATGGTAACTAATAGGAGTATGGAACCTTGAACCTTCCCTATGCGTTCTCTTATCAGATTGCTTTTGGATAATTCCAAAAGTAATGCCACCGCTAACTTCCTTTCCTCAACACGGCGGCCAAGTGAACGAACAATAGATTCAATGCCATTATCAGCTTTGTTAATTCTTTCCTGCAACATTAACTATAAGGTTATATCCATACGGGAGGGAATTAAGAAAAGATAACATAGAAAAATAAAATGTATTTATTACTACAAACAATAAGCACATGTTTTTCTTGTTTCTTTTTGTGTGGGCAAATGAAGAACATCATTATTCATCAAAAGAATATTACTGCACAAGGGGCATTTTACAGACTTGTGCATCTGTTGCTAGGCATTATATATAAAAACACAGAGGGAGGGATAGAGAGAGAGTACACAATGTAGTTAAGGTAAGCAAAGTATTACCTTCGCATCATCACTATCCTTCACCAAAATGCATAGGTTGACAAGAGCATGGTTCCTTATCTCAGGATTTTTAACACCAAGAAGTTGAATGAGAATAGGTATGTAGTTCTCCAGTATGACCCATTCCTTATGCAGATCTCTTTCTTTACAGAGATCTAGTAGTTCACCGAGGCAATGAAGCACTTCTTCATCTTCTTCAGACTGGAGTTTTGATTTCAAGGAAGCAATCATAATCATCGTATTCCTATCCTTCCATTCTTCTATTGATTGCCGCAGAGTTTTATTGGGCCGTAAAATTGATGTGTCTAAAGAAGTCATGGTCAGGGGACACAATCTGTTCCCATCAGCAAACCACTTTTCTATAGCACTTCTCTCAAATGTCTGTCCAGAAGAAGTTTCCACAGGGTCCACCATAACTTCCCTGGTGATTGGGCAAATAAATGATTGAAGCGGTTCCAATGGTTGACCACCCAAAGATTTCCGCTTAATGATATACTTCATTTCTTTCTCCCTAGGAGATGAAGCTGCATCAGCCCTTTCTAATAAAGCAATTATCTGTTCCATCTGTATAGCTTCAGCCTGGTCTTTCCTCAGCCGAGCATTTTCTATCTCGCTCCTGAATTCCTCTAATTCCTTCTTTAACACTGACCTCTCAGTTGAGATTCCAACTGCCTCTGCAATGAGAACCAGCAAATTATTGGCATACGAACGATCCACATTTCTCTCCTGGATTCCAGACTCAATTTTGTCCAAAATCTCTTCTTCTGCTATTGCTGCCCTGAACTCAGCTCTCTGCATATTGTCACAAAGCTTTTCAATTTCTTCAACTATGCCAGATGAAAGATCTAGAGAAGTCAGGGGAAGAAGACTCAAAGCCCGACTGATCTCTCTCATTATGTCCTCTAGGCGCTTAACTATATTACGGCAATTCATTAAGAGATACACTTTGTTTCTCTTGCTGCACTCAAGAGTCAGTTGCTTTGCAGCTCTGATTTCTCGGTTAAGAATCTCCATAACATTGTTCAAGCTCTCAGAATGAACAACAGTTCTCTTGTTCAACTCTCTTAAGATGGGGACTACCCTTACCACATAAGTTGCAAGCTCCTTGAAAGTATCCTTCTTAACAAGGACGTCATTGGCAGCAGCTACAATTTCGAAAATGACCTCTACTATTTGAGAAATGACTTCTGAAGCCGGAGCAGATGCAGCACTTGAAACCAACTCCGCTGCCAACATTTTGCAACTCACTAAAACTAGCAAGCGAGATCCTCATTTCCCATTTGACTGCACAATTGACGAAAAGTGGCAGAAGCCCTGTTGCAGGACAACAACCAGAAGCTTTTGATCCAAAATAGTTTTCATGCCCATGCATTCAGTTACAATCTGAAATATCAGAGTATTTGCTTAGTCTTAGTCATGCTACACTACATTGATTATACTTGAATTTATTTACTCATATACATCTGGACCAACTACCCATTCAGTCGCGGAGCACCAGGCAGAAATGAAAATCACAAAAAATTAAAAGTCACATACAAATTCTCAGTTTGGTTGCTGAGAATTAATAATTAAGTCTTGTATTCTTTCGTAATTTTGAGATATGGAGAGTTCCGCTCAATGTCCCTAATCCAACCATTAGTCTCCATTATTTTACAGAAACCAAAAGACATGAAGTAACTCTGAACCTGTCATTTTCTTCTCTAACCTTCAGTTTCCTCTGACACCAAAAGGAAAATCGTTTTGTTTTGTTTATCTACAAAGGAAAGACTAAAATTAAGCTCAGCTACAAGTTTGTACTGGCAATAAGTCTACTCAGTCTAATTCCCTTGCTTCATTAAAAAAATAATGAAATTTTGTACCCAAAAAAACCCATTCATTCTTTGCTACTTTCTCTCAGCAACCAAACAGAGTTAACATACATAACCATTCTAGAAAGCTACTGTTTTTTTTATTTTTCTGGTCAGAGAACTTGAACGCACTAAATTCCCAGCAGAAACGCGCAGCGAAGCCTAGAACACGACTTCATGCAAACCCAAGCCAACAAATATTATGCACTTGAAACAAAGATAGAAAGCACAGATACTAGTAAGTTCTAGTCCTAATTCAATATACTGAAATCAATAATGCTTCAATTTCCAGCTTATTTCTTCAAATTTAGGCTCAAATTGCAATTCAGAAGGACCCCATTAAATATCAAGCATGCAATAAAGCAGAAGGCCAAGACCCTTTTAGTCAACAACAAAGTCTTCACTGATTTAAAAAGAAAAAGTTTAAGAGACAGACCTGGGAAAGAGTTTATGCCCTTCAAAATTCACAGCACCATCAATCTTTTCCACACAACTTCTGAAGAAAATGCACCCAAATTTCCGGGAAAATTATCAATCAACTCACCACAGAGGCCTTTCAAAAATGGAAAAGAAATTTGAAAAGTAGGACTAAAAGAAATACCCTTTCTCCTTTTTCTCTTCTTTTCTGTTTTTGGGTAATTTAGGGAAGTTGCAATCTCAAAAATAAATTGTCTTCAAGTTTGTTGCCTCCAAGTGGAGACTCTCTCCCCCAAGTCCCAAGTCTTGACCTTTTCCTTGAAGGATTTTTCTGAGTAAAATTTTCACAGAAGTAAAATGGAGAAATTTTCTTTCTGGGTCTTTGCTCATGTAACCGTTGACTGAAATACTATATCAAACCTGAAGATTAGATGAGACCAAAAAAAAAAAAAAAAAAAAAAAGAAAAG